GCCTGTTGTAGTCATTTCCTAAGTAGCTCCAACTTGTTGAGCCAAAAAAGAACAAGGGGGAGTGGGGAAGGAGATGGTGGGATATCACGCGTCCTACTAGTGAGGGGGCTAGCTGGTCGGATGGGAATAGGGCATAGCAGCAGTGGAGATGGTGGCTCTGCTGCAGTAAGTCTTGCCGGAGTGAGGTAAAAAAAAAAAAAAAAGGGGATGATTACCTTCTGATATAGTAGTAGGGGACGATTACCTCCTGATAGAAGTCGCTGTTTTTTTAATTTTGTAGTGGAAAAATTTTAGGCGCTCTCTTCATCTCTGTATTTGGAATCTGGTTGGTTCTGCAAAGAGTGACCTGTTCGTTTTCTCGGCGCTTTCTAGGCTAGTACTATCTGTTCAGTCACATGCATTTCTTTAGTGTTGTGTAATTAGAAACACGTATTGCGAACGGATCAGACGTAGTAATAGGTCATAGAATTATGGGTACGATGGAATATTGGTTGTATATTGCCTAATTACATGCCCTTATCTGATCCTAGGGTGCCTGGTAGCACACGTCTCGATTTCTAAGGGGGTTTGGGGTTAAGGACTATGTTGCTGCAGCAGCTCATGACTGGAAGAGGGAAGCACTTTTAGAAGCGCTCAGGGTGGAACTCACGGAACTACTAGCAGCGGTGCCTCTTGGACCAGTGAGAGAATGGCAAGAGAGTGAGAACGCTACTGGTCAGGTGATCAGAGAGACCCGGTGAAGAGCAAACTTGAGCTGTATCCATTGGGTGCGTGGTGGGAAACCCGCCTTGGCAGCTCAGGCTCCTTACAGTGTTTTGGACAGTGAGGAAGAGAGGGTAGCCCTAAGGGAGACGAAGGAATCGTTGTAGGTGAGGAGTTCATCTGGTATGTGCGTAGTTATTCTGAGAAGATTGCCGCAGCTCTTAGGACTGAGAGAGGGAAGTAATTTCAGAGTGGCTCAGGGTGAAACTAGCAGAACTACTAGCAGCAGTGCCACTTCGCGCAGTGAGAATGTAACAAGGGGCAGTGGGAACGCTACTGGTCAGGGCATAAGAGAGACCTGGTGAAGAGCAAACTTGAGTTTATGCATTGGGTGCGTGGTGGTGGGAAACCCGCCTTGGCAGCTCAGGCTTTTCACAGTGTTTTGACCAGTGAGGATGAGAGGGTAGCCCTGATTCGTAGGCAGCTTATCCTGATCTTGGAATTTTCTCCGTTTTGTTAGTTTAGTTCCTCCCTTTCTTTGCGTCTTGCCTTGCCGCAGCATCTTAGGACTGAGAGAGGGAAGTAATTTCAGAGTGGTTCAGGGTGAAACTTGCTGAACTACTAGCAACGGTGCCACTTTGCACAGTGAGAGTGTGTCAAGGGGCAGTGGGAACGCTACTGGTCTGGGGATAAGAGAGACCAGGTGAAGAGCAAACTTGAGTTGTATCCATTGGGTGCGTGGTGGGAAACCTGCCTTGGCAGTTCAGGCTCTTTACAGTGTTTGGACAATAAAGATCAGGGGGTAGCCCTGATAGAGATGATGGAATTACTCTGCTTCGAGGCCTTGTAGTAGTAGGTTTGGTTGATCATAGGCAGCTTATCCTGGTATTGGAATTTTCTCCGTTTTGTTAGATTAGTTCCTCCCTTTCTTTGCCTTTTGGAAGGTGGCTGTGTTGTTATAGGGGACACTGGACCTGGTTTCCAGCAGAGCCTGCGCTGGGTATTGGCCCCAGTATGTTACCCCGGGTCGAATTGTGAGCACCCCGGCCTCAACTACGACTTTTGCAATATATAAAGTCATCTTTTTGTTAAAAAAAAAGAAGAAAAGAATGCGATGGCCTAACCTCTCATTGGAGTTTGCGGGAACGGAAAGTGTTGCAAGAAGCCAACATAGAGAGGCAACAGACCTATAAAACGTTTTTTTCTTTTTTTCTTTTTTTCTTTTTTAACAAAAAGCTCCAATCTATTGGTCAGAATAAGTCACAATCCAGCGGCCTAGCTCAGTTGGTAAGGCACGCAAGTGGCATTCAGGAGGTCTTGGGTTCAATCCCCATTGTCCTCATGCACCTTCCTGGGCAAGCTTGGCGCCCGCCACCTAGAGATATGCCGTTGGTCCCCCCGAGTGGCATTGAGCAGAGACTGCTGATGTTCATAGGGGGAGGGGACCGGAGGGGAGGCACAGTGACTGGCCCATGGAGGGGAGGCACAGTGACTGGCCCATGGAAGAAGCTCGGTCCTGATGCTACCCGCTGACCCCTGGCCGGTATCGCCCACCTGCTGTAGCAGGTATCCCACCTGCTGGTGGGTGAAGCTCCCGCATGTTCCCTCGTTGGAGGCTTGAGCACGGATGTGGCTGCTACGGGGTTCCCCGTAATACTATAATGACAATAAAAAAGGCCTGAAAGGCCGTCCTGTCCAGATTTGACAGGTAATTGAATTGGTTGGGCTTAAAGAATT